AGGTGGGGAGGTGGGGGCGCGCCGAGCGCAGGCCGGGGTGGTCGGGCGGCGAGGGGAGCGAGCGATTAGCGAGGCTTTGTGAATTAGCCAGAGCTACTTCGAGAGTCAATTTCCCTGCTGCAGCGCTAAGTGGCCAGGCTCATAAATCCTTTCCTTCTGGCCAAGGTTCTGCCCTGGTTTTCTCGCGCGTACTTCCAGAGCTCATCTGTGCGTTGTACGGAGGCATCTCCCTTGAGACGCAAACGGAACTTGTAGATTTCTTGAAATTGGTGAAGAAGTTCGCAGGGCAGCGGGCAGCCAGGGGTCCTCCGAGGGGGGGGTGTTTGGAAGTTTAAGTAGGCAACCTGATGAATAGCTGTGGAATCAACCGCAGGACTCCCCGTGGCATTCCCTGCTGTTCCTGGGTGCACAAAGCCTGGGGTGGTGGCCGGGAGGGGGACCCGACCCAGAGAGAACTGTTTGGAGAAAGGACAAGTTAAAGTCCCCAACGATGCCAAACAGTTCTGATGCCTGTGCCCAGAGCTTACTACAGCCAAATTAAAAAGACTGCATAGGAAAACGGACCAATAAAGATAAGCCAGAGACTGTAAGTGTATTAATATTGAAAGAAGAAAAGAGAAGAGACAAAAAGAAAAAAGAAAAATGCCCAGGAGAGACAGCATTTGGCACTTGTACTGTTTTTCTTCCAATAGACCAGGCAAGCCAGAGATTGAGGACTGAACCTGCCCTTCAGATCTTAAGTGGAAAAGTAAAATGTATTCTCTCGGGTGTGTGTATTTCAGTGCTGTTCTCCTGTATTTAGTTTATTTAGTTCTTTCTGTTCCTGGTGAATAAACTATTTATGTTTGAATCTTGCAGTCTTCGAAAGACATTGTTCCACCACTTTTATCTTTGTTGGCCTCCATGTTCCCTGATACCAGCTCTTCCTGTGTTGTCTGTTAGGTGTTAAAAATGTAGAAAGTGCCAGACTCTGCTTTCAGCAAGCAGCTACTATCATCATCACTCTACTCCATTCCCCCAGCCTGTTTACTATCAAACCATTATGACAATTCCTTCCCAGAATCAGATTTTTATCATGGTCTTGTGGTCACTTCTCCTCTCCCTTCTATTTTCTGGTCTTTTCTCCTCTCTTTGGACTAAAATGCTAGTGAAACACAAGATGCTCTCGCTCCCTGAAGGTATGATTTCCATGTGCTGAGGATTCAAAGATCAGAATGAACTATTTTTATGAATGGCAGTACATATGCAATTAAGATGAGAAAGTTAATTTAAGCATTTTACAATGTGGATGCGGTTTTTATTCTCTCGTTAGAGAAGTACTGGAAAAAATTAAAAGTTTTAGGAAATATGTCTCTTCAGAGATAGCCAAGAAAACAACAGATGTTTAAGATGGAAAAACATAGTGAGTGTTATTTGTGAGTGCACTGTGTTTTGTAACTGTGGTTTAAAGAAAAACAGCAGTCATTTTAAACAGGTCCTTGGGACATTCTCTGGGCTTTAGGCAACAACTTTCTCCTTTCTGGCTATGGCCTAATTGTTGCATTCAGGATTGCTGGGAAATCCTGGCTCCAGGGAATTTGTGGTGTTTCTGACTTCCAAGAATGAAAGATTTTACTAGGAAAAGTGTGTGTGTGTTTGAACAGTGTGCCTCAGAGTCAGTGCCCCCCTGTTTTATAAATGCATTTTATTTCCGGACTACACAGCATTGATATTCTGCTTATCTAGCACCAACTAGTGTTATGAGTGTTAACACCACCAAACTCAGAAGAGAAAATTACTAAAGATTCTAATCATATTAGGATAATTCTCTACTGTCATAAGTTGATTTATAATGTTTTTAAAAAACAATAATATACTTCCTAAAAGAGAGTAAAAAATATTTTTGTGCATATATGCATATTGGTACAACCAAACAATTGGCATGAAAAAAAACACATAACTGAATTTCATTACAATTATACTATATAGTTTTCCATTTTAGGAGCAGAGTAAATTCAAAAATTCACATTTGGAATTCGCAATAAGGAAAAGTAGGCTAGCTTACCTTTGTTTAGAAAAATAATACCATGCGTTCTTGCTTAGGGAATGCTTAAAAGGCTTCAGAGAACAAACTTCTCAAGTACTTGCAAAGAGTGAGGAACCATTAGATTGTTCACATTTATTGACTTCTTGGCCTTCTAGTTTCTGGGGATTCAAAGTTCAGCAAGACAGGGTCCTGGAGCACCTCCCATTGTAGTGCTGATTAGAATGCATACTGATCTTTTATTAAGCAATCCCCCAAAGACATGAACATGAACAAGACATGAGCTCTACCAGGCATACCCTGTATGCTTATTTATAATTATTGTTGGCACTTAAAATTAACTCTTTTCTAATGCATGCTAGGTTCTCCAGTTACTGAGAAGAGAACAGTGAGAGTGTGGTCTGTTAGGCCTTCACTGCATTTAGCACTTTTCTGATTTAGGTCATGGCTTTGCTGGAGCAGCAGAGGGAGTCACTCTTGGAAGAAACATTAGAGTTACAGGCTGCAACCACTTCAGGAAAATGACGGGAAAGTGTCCGGAAGGGATTGAGCCAGCCCTCTTGCCTTCTGATTTTAGCCTACATCTTTTTCAGTCTGACTTTTGTATTTGTGGCAGTTAAAAGCAAACCTGTTCACATTTCCTCACAAATTAAAAATGTACTAGCTCATTTGAATGGTGTTGGTATTAGAAGTAAAGTTCTTAACAAGCAAGTAATGTGCACTTGTTATGTCCCAAGCTGTGTGTTATTTGTTGGGGGACACAAAGTTGAACAAGATAGTTTTTCAGCCTTCAGGGAAGACAGATTTATAAGCATAGAGTTATAATTTACATTCTGGAATATAACTGTGGGCATAAGTATAGTACTTTCTGGATTCAAGGATCCAAAGATAGCAAACATAGGGCAGGCTAGGAAATGGTGGTGGGGGCTCCAAAATTTCTACACAGAGGAACTTGAGGGTGGAACAGAGGAGTTTGCTTAGAAGTTTGCGTTGCACCTGTCTTATACGTTTGGTCTGGTTTGAGGGAGGCACAAGCTAAAGGCTGTTAATCGTGTGTGCCCATTCTGCCAGTTATCTTAGTGCCACTATCTCAAGA